TTTAGTAAGAGTTTTACGGCACTTGAAACACAAATAGATCATATGGGTGCCGAAGAACAGAAGTGTTACTAAAGAGCAGCATACTTAGTTTTAGGAAGAGTTTTACAGCACATGCAACTTAACAATAAGTGCCGAAAGTAAATATAGTGGTACAAAAAGAGGAGGAGGAGAGATCAGGACAATAGATGTTCGATAGGAAACAAGGAGCAAACCACACCAGAGCACCCACCAACCACCCACTGAGAGCAGCATACAAAGAAAAGGAAGAGAGATAAGGAAGAATTATGTTTGAGAGGGGGGGGGGACGAGCAAATCACACCCCAGCATCCATCAACCACCCACAGATGTTATTGTAAATACCAAATGATCTAATTTGACAGTGAAAAAAACCACAAGAAAGTAAGAGACTGCGTAGCAGACCATCTGGTCGACCAGTAGTTAGACCAAAAAACAAAAAAAAACACGGGCACAGCCAGATTTTTGTTGCAGTTGGCTTCGTTTATAAACTTATTGAAAACTACATCTACTTCTTATAGGGAAAATAATATCATAACATTCGAAAGAAGTACCAAAATTAACTAAACGAGACGCGGGTTTTTCTTGCTGGATTTCGCAGATCACAACAGCAACGAAAATTGCATCGCGACAATTGTCAGTTTTTACTGGACGTGTAAAATACCCCTTAGAAAGTCTAAGAAAGTGGACAGGTGTGAGTACTCAGTGTATAGTTTTAGTGAGAGTTTTACAGCACTTGCAACACAATAAGGTAAGTGCCGAAGAATAGATGTGTTACAAGAAAGTAACATACACAAAAAAGAAGGAGGAGAGATAAAAACGATAGATGTTTGATAAGAAAGAAGGAGCAAACCACACCAGAGCGCCCACCAACCACCCATTGACAATGAAAACTGTCAGTTTTTACAGGACGTGTGCAAGGCCCCTTAGAGAGTAGAAGGTGGACAAGTGGGAGTACTCACAATCCCACGAGTTGTTGGAGACGACGGGCAGGACATCGCGGTCCCAATCCAGCGTGAAGCGTTTGATCAGCAGGAACGCGTTGACCGGGTTGCCTAGGTAACTGTCGATGTTCTCTAGCGCTGTGTTGCTATGAGTGTCGTAGTCATCTGCCAGCCTGTGGGAGATCAGATTAAGAACAATTAAAGTTTTACGTTTTTGTTAGAGTTTTTGTTTTAGTAGAGGTTTTATGGCGCTCGCAACTGCATAAGGTCATATGAGCGCCACAAGATTAGAGGTATTACAAGAGCTGAGACAGAGAGTAACATACATAAAAAAGGAGGGGAGATAAGGACGATAGAT